ACCACCCGCGAGAAAAAAGGGTAACAAAATTTAAAAATTCTAAGATATCACTTAGCTTTTCTTTGTCGATCAATCGCATTACAATATCACACCTAGCCGATAATTCGCTAAAAGCCGATGGTCTGTTAAAGAGATTTTAGGGAGGATTATTTCGTCAGAGTTGCACTCCCGTGCTATATCTGTTTGCCGTATGCTCCCCAATCAAAATAGAGAATAGATGTCAACTACTTTACAGATCAAAAGGGGTTTGAAATTATCATCCAAAACTATTTGATTTTTCATTACAATGATGAAACAATATGATAAACATGAACGCCATGGCTAAATTTAGCTACCATTCCTTATCACATTTGTGTAATTCAACACTTCTTCAATTTTCAAAAAAATACAAATTAAAGATGAATTCCAGCTTAACTTTATAAGAAAATATTTCAGCAGAAGAAAAGATGAAAATTAAAACATAAGGGAGTGGACGAGTAATCAACATTTGCATAATAATGATCCGTGGATGAACTTTGGTTTTTCGATCGTATGTCGCCATATGCACGAGAGATATTAATACTCTTTTATCCAAAATCTATTATTACTTACTAATTGTGCCCATTAAACAGTGAGAAAAAAGACGAGAAGGGCTTAAATCTTTAGCTGCGTTAAAATAGAATGCAAGCGCTTAACTTTAAATGCAAATTTTGGAGTTGATGTACAAACAAACACTGCTATTCATGTCCTGCATAAGTTCAAACGCTTTAGACGCTACAAAATAACCTTATTCGAAGTCGATACCTTTTTTTTCATTCTACGGTCTTCTTGAATTTTTCTCTTTTTGAAGTTACTCTCCCCATTGAAAAATTATGGGTTTGTATTAATTTTTAGACAAATTTGCTTACATCTACACACGTTCCTAAACATGTCAACGATTCTCCGGTAAAAGTTTGCAACTTTTCACTTGTGTACACGGTTTTTTTTGGTGCGACATGTTTTTCCTTAACTGCATCTTAGAACACTTAGAGAAACAATCCCTTAAATTAGTGCATGAAGAAAGCCATAAGCTGCAAGTAAAACAAGTATACTTACATTGAGATGTGTTTCGATCTCCTGCTGAATACATTTCCACGCAGTTACGATGACGCGCGAAAGACCACGGAAGAAAAAAAACAACATGAGTATAAGAAATAAGGCGCTTCCTGAAATTATAGGAAGTTCAAAACAAAACTTTGTCACCTGCAACATTAATGACCTAAGTACTCTCGTTACAAGATCGCAACCTGTCAAAGATTTCACCGACAGGTTCATAACACACTTGGGAAAATTCGCGGATCGCTGAGTACAAACCTTTGCAAGGCAGCGACTTCTGCATCGCGCTGACAGCACAGAAGCCAAACTTTTCTTGTGTTGTAAATGCAAAATGAAGAATCCAACAAGTATAATAGCGTAATGATTCATAGAAGTTAGAGGAAAAGTGAACTTTAAAGAAGAAATGAGGTGCTGAACATTCCAGTTTGAAAGGGTGAGAACGATTAGCAGCAAATTAGCATAACAGAAACCCGGATTAATGCGAGTATAACACGTGCTACTTCGAGAAAGTGAAATCAGAGGGTGTAACTGAACGATAAACTTAAACTTAAAGAGAATTAAAAAGTCAATCAAGTGTACTATTCTTCACGATCCAAATTAGTAAGATATCTGACCGACTGATTTGTAGAACCAAACGGTACTAAGCGCGTGTATTTTTTTTTAACTTTATTTTTTTTTTTTACATACAGAAGAAAGTAGCTGTTAAAGAAAAAATGTTGTGGGCAATACCGAGCTTCGTTGTGCACTTACGTAGATGGAGTAGCACGAGAGATAGCCTCATATTTCGCAGTCCTGTACACAAATCCTACCTAGATTTACTCGTTCTGATGAGCAAACCAGTGTCCCTTTAGAATTTTGTGGCTTCTTCAAACTATTAATTCAATCAATTATGCATTCGGGATATTTGAAGTGTTACAAGTTGCTCTCCGTTTTAAAAGCAATTAATGGAAGTAGATCATATGTGAAAGTCTCTCAACTTCAGCGAAAGCGATTTCGTAAACAAACATTACTTTGTCTAATTTCATACTCTGCAATATGTAAATAAATGTTAGTTTTCAGGGGATGGCACCATTGTTCTTGAATTTTAGCACACCGTGAAAGAACACAAAGCAATATTTTACGGGCACGTTCCAGCGAGATTTCAACGGGACAAAGATTACATTTGAGGTTACTCTACTTATAGTGCTGTTTCGTTTCTTTACCCCTATGGTAGCTTGTTGACCATTCTTACTTCTTCGACAATTCTCTTAACAGTGAAAAGATGCTCAAATAATCAAATCCCAAAACAAATCCGCGATTACTTAGGAAACCAGATCACGTTCAGGACTCTTGTCGGAAGGACCGGCGTGCGGTCTGATATCCATCTTCTTCGGTGTTGTCATATTTAGAAATAAGGTTCTATATCGGGCACATAAACATGCCCCACTTTCCACTTGACTGACAACGCAAAATGTCGATTTTAGATAAAAAGCTGACATTGCCCGCAGATATTGCAAAGGGACATCACCTATTTGTTCCATCCGAATTCTCGTCTCTCTATTTTCAATTTCCTCTGGGCAATCTTATAGTACATGATAAGAAAAAGGTTTTGAACAATCCGAGCGAGCTCTGTTTACAGATGCTTTGAGAGAGAAAAGAAAATGTATCACTCTTAATCCATTGGAGAACCCTTAAGTTATCCGGTCAATAGAGGATGTCACGTGATCTATCAATTCAGGTAGTTGGGTGCTACCTGGTCCTAACTGCCAATAGGAGTCTAAAAGCCGTAGAAGTCACGAGTATAAATCGAATTTCTGTCCGGCATTTTCATAAAAAAAGTAATTTCAGGAGTTATGCAGGCGGTCGATGCAATAACTCTGTTCAGACTAACTTATAACACTTGACTACTGCCTTTAATTTACCTGTATTTTTAACAGATAGAACTGATAAAATTAAACCTCTGGAGAGCCTATATCTTTCTCTTTGATGTTGTTAGGGTAACGTTTAATTGAAAATATGATTTTGGTAGCCATGGATAGATTGTGTTGATAAACAAACACAAAGTAATATAGAACGCAAACCATGGTAACAGAATTCCTCAGTCTTAACAATGGCTGTGAAGCTAGGCGAGGGAGGTGCTCAAAACTTACTACATTCTACATCATTCTATGAGCAATATTCTGCCCGGAAATGATACTCGCCTGGTGCCGAACTTTTGATAAGGTGCACGTACGCTTCATCATAAATTAACTATAAGACTGAAAAGCCAACAATCAATATATTCACAGATTTCCTTACGAAACTCAACCAGGGTCGTGAAGGGCTGAAATGAGCATCAATCTCTTCCTCACTGAGCCGGCTCAGAGTCAGCTCTCTAACAGCCACAACTTACGCTCATATCTTTTTCTTTCCCTTAAAACAAGTAGCTTGCTAAGCTGTTTGTCTGATAATTAATTTATCTATCTATTTGTTAAATTCACTTATTTATTTACTTAGTGTGTTGTTTGGTTGAAGTAGTCGTTATACCTTAAATTCTCTTTTCTCAATCGAGATGCAGTTAATAACAAACAAAACGATATTACAAGACGTAGAAGTCTACAGTGACAGTGAGTGTTGTACACACTTGATGATCGTTTTTCAATTGCAGCGCATATAATCAACCAGGAGAACAAACGTGTTCCTGGAAGGCTATGTAGAATAAAGCAACGAGAGAGAACAAAAAAAACAATCCTACACAAAAGTATAACATGTTTAGAATATTTGCACCTACCGGTCGTATTTTGGGGATAGAAAGGGAAATCTCTCGCCAGCAATTAGTAGTGATAAATGAAAACGTGCAACAGGAAATAGATTCTTGACAAACACGAACTGAAGTGTGAATGCCAAATGCACCTGTAAAATCAAGTCATACAAAACTGAACCCACTAGAACATGGAAAGTAAAGATTAAATGAATGTGAATATTTGAAAATCATATATGTGAACTGTGGAAAAAGAAGTGAATATAAAAGCGATCTTCACAGCAATGAACACTACTTGAGCAGTAGTGAAAATAAGGCCTGAAAAAAAATTCAGGCCTGTACGGAATTTGAACCCATGACCTCTGCGATACCAGTGCAATGCTCTACTAACTGAGCTAACAAGCCAACTGGGAGCTGGTCATTATGTTGGTTTCAAATAGAGGTGATAAGTAAGTGACTGTGAATATATAACAATATTTTTAGGCCTTGTTTTCACTACTGCTCAAGTGGTGTTCATTGCAAGATCACTTTCATATTTAACGTCAAGATTGTTAACACATCCATAGAACAACGTCCAGTTCAGCATCCAGTTGAAATTTTATTATAAAGCAAAGTGTTAAAAAGCGTTTTTTAAACACCGTTAAAATGTTCATCTCTCACTGAACAGAAATAGCCAACGACAAATCTACGTATACCCTGTTTCGAGTTCGACGCGGCATTGCTTTATGAGACAATCATGTGACGGAATGTAAGTTTGAAATTTCAAGAGGCTATTAAAAACATACTGCTGTTTTTCTAGCAACTGCGATAAAACTTACTCAGCTTCTAACATAGCCTTATGCCACATCACACTAAAAAAAATAAGCTTATGGTGTGCAAAAAACATAAAGAGCATCAAACTCAGAACGCTTTCAGTAATACGCGCTTGAATTTTTTTTTTTTTTTTGGTAAGAAGCTTCTTCGTTTCCGAACATTGTGGTAGTTTTCCAGAATGTACTGTTGTTCACACGTGTATATATTTACTTCAGTAGTTTTACAGCAACACGACTGACCACCATGCTAAGATCAATTCTGGTTGGGAATTAACCTCCAAATGAGCGCACAACAGTCCTTCAATGTCTCCCATTCCCTGCTATTATCTAGTCTGACTAATTTGGATTCGTGATTGACAAAGTATTCTTTCGTAAAGCCCCCTACATGTAAGTCTCTCTTTGTGCGGTGTATTCAAGCTGAGGGTTCTGTGCGTCCTAATGTTCTTCGGTTTAATTTTGAAAGGCTTGTCAGCTTGTGAAGATCTCGTTATAGAGTCTTGCCTGTAAACAAATTTTCCTTTATTTGTTGGCACCGGCTGACGAAGAAGCTGAGTGTTCTGTTGAAGAAGCGGAAACTTGTTAATATACATTTTGTTAAGCGGAGTACGGCTGATCATATTAAAGTGAACCAGTAGGCGGGATGACAAAAATGCTTAGCATCAGGTGCGCGGTAGAATGTGAAGAGTTTCAATTTTTACAATAGTCCACACTTTCTATCGGTCTACTGGCGTAATAACATATGCAAGATGTTGGGAGAACACGAGAAAAATCACGAGCTGGAAACCGATAGAAAGCGCCGTTCATTGTCTTATAACTGAGAAAATAACTATGGGTTCAGTGACTGTAAATATATGGAGATCATATCTGTGCACTGCGGTAGAAGAAACGAAAATAAGCGATCCTCGCAGTTATGAACACTACTGAACTAGTAGTTGAAATAAGGCCTGAAAAAAATTTTCAGACCCGTACGGGATTTGAACCCATGACCTCTGCGATACCGGTACAGCGCTCTACAAACTACTAGTTCAACAGTGTTCATAACTGCGAGGATCGCTTCTATTCATGTATTCTACCACAGCGCACATACATGATTTTCATATATTTACAGGCATTATTCACCACTTGGAAGGTTTAATTGAATCCAACATATTGAATAACTCCCACTTGGCTTGTTAGCTCAGTTGGTAGAGCGCTGCACCGGTATCGCACAGGTCATGAGTTCAAATCCCGTACGGGCCTGAATTTTTTTTTCCTTAGGCCTTGTTTCAACTACTAGTTCAGTAGTGCTCATAACTGCGAGGACCACTTACATTCGTTTCTTCTACCGCAGCACACTTTTATGATTTTCATACATTTACAATTAGTATTCACCACTAGGTAGGTTAATTTGGATCCAACTAAATGAAAAGCGCTCCGTTGTCTTATTAGCTCAGTTGGTAGAGCGCTGCACCGGTATCGCAAAGGTCACGGGTTCAAATCCCATACTAAATTTTTTTTTTCAGGCCTTATTTCAACTACTAGTTAAGAGAGGATCGCTTATATTAGTAACTATGGGTTTGCCGGTGCAATAAAAGAGAGGTTCTTGGCCAATCAGGGCGCTCGAAGTATCTCGATTATTTTGCGATATGTGATAGAAGCAACGCCATACCCAGGTTTATATTTTCTCGAAGCTGGTCCTGCGCTTCGTGTTATGACCCAGAAAACAAGTTTCGTTTTCATTTAGGATGGATGGCAGTTTGCCCCTCGTATATTGACCAAAGCTTCAAGATTGTTAGAGAAAATAGTACTGACATGATAGGGTTTCTATCACACTGACTGACAAACTTTGGTACACAGCACCATTTGAATCTGAATCACTGCTGTACACCGCAAGACGACATTTCCATGACTGGAGAAACCTCACCGAGTGTTAAAAATCAGTTATAGTTCGAAAGTAATTTTTTTGATCACGCGCATTTCTTTTCCAATGTTTGAGAAGATTTATTTGTTTGTTTTGTATTACTATTCAAGGGAATGAACAAACTATAGAGCGTATGAATTGAGACGAGGGAGAAATGGTGACATGTATTTGTATACCTTGGGGTCTCTCCATTCCGCTTCTAACGATTCTCTCTTGTCATGCTTCCTGTCCTACAACACGAGTTTGGAAATAAAATAGGACAAGTGTAAAACAAACATCACGCCAAACACACAGGATTAAAACATAAATATCACATTAGTTAAGAGAAGAAACACTTCAGTAAAATCGTAACGGTTTTTTTGCCTTTACGTCTCCTCGCTGAGCATGTTGAGAAGAAAGTGATTGTTAATCGAGGGTCAGTGCACTCGATGAATCTTACACAAAATAGACAGCGATGTCAATTTGTACGCCAATGGATAGCGTCGAAGGCGCGCTCTGAGGCTATTCACCTTCGAGCAACTCGGGCGAGATTTGCACCCGAAAATATCGCAATCTTTGCAGGAATAAATTATGATCATCTTTTTGTGCTGTTTTCATCTCACTGTTCTAGTAAATACTAAAACGACTATTCACCTCCAGCTACCTCCATTTCGGTGAATATTTATTAATTAATCACTACTCAGAGGCCAGCTTTTGCTGTTAGTATTCATTGATTTCAAACTCCACTGGCTCCGTCCTCCTACATGTAGTAGATCACGGTCTGATTTTCCTACTCCTTACAACAGTATTTTTAAATTCCAGTATAAGTTTATGGCATTTGTTGTAACAGGTAATGCAAACAGGGGTTTAGGAAAATAAAGCCAACCAGAGTGAGAAAAGCCTGATACATGTGGCCGTCTGTAGACTAGTTCTAATTCACTTACAATTCGATTAACATAACAACTGGCGGGAACCCAAATCAGTAATGAGAACACCACAACTGTCCCAGCCAGATTGTCCTTCATGAACTGAGCGACTATATTACTGTCCAGGGTGGTTATAAATGTCCAAAATCTCTCTACAAGATCTTGACTTAATTTCTCACATTTGCCCTGATAAAACAAACAAACAAAATTGAGTGAATGTCACCTGTCAGTATCACGTGGATAGCACATACCCTTTGCGAAGGGTATGTTGTATGTTGGGTATGTTGTTGTTTAAAAATTAAATACCATTCGCCACGTAAGTTAGCCTGCAGAGCAGGCGTAATTTTAACGAACGAGTGCTCAGTATTTTCTAAACGAAAATTATGGCCGCCATCTTTGATTTTGATGGCAGCGGAAGGCTGGAGATAGAAAGAAATTTTTTTACCTAGGGGGCGGTCGACGGTCAAAATAAGGAGAGGACTTGGGGTGGGGGAGTGAAGAGTCTTCTCGCCCTTACCCCGCCCCCCACCCCCACCGTCCACCCTCACTTCAAATCAAACATGGCAGGTGGGATAAATGATCGTGAGCTTGTGACGTTAGCTATAATAAGACGACTGCACTGCAGGCTATACTCAAGTAAGTAAGTCACCTTGACACAGGTACCCTGCTGACCCTCCCCCTGACAGGATCGCCCATCAAGGATGTCCAATGTTGAACCAGTATCGTTGTCTCTGTGAGGAGCACAAATTCCATTGCTTCCCTGACAGCAAACTTTACAGGAATCATCCACACCGGAACATTTACATGGCTTCAGATTAAGGGCTTCACAGAAAGGTTTACACACTCCATTTCGGCATGTCCCACTGAAAATATTCAACAACTCACTTTGTTGGCCACACATAGATTGTTTACTTTTCAGTACCTCATCGGTCTAACCCTAACCCTACTGTTTTAGTTGGGGAAGGGGTTCGTGCGCAGTTGCTCAGCTGCTGTCGTTAATCCAAAATTATGTAAAGAAATGCAAGAGGATATTTGGCTGAGAGAGTTTTCTTCGACTTCCCAAAGTTACTGAAATTACAAACAGTTTGATGTAAATATCTACTAAAGCCTTTTACTCTCATGAGTTATCAGTGTATCAGCACTTTTGAACCGTCAAACAGAAAGGTAAGCAGCACACGTATGACTGATTTGTGGTTATCATCCCAGTAAGGACAACATATTAACCTGTCAATGCATTTAGCTCCATCCGGCATGTTAGGTGCTGCAGGGCATTGGGCACTCTTCCCGTCACAGTAAGTGCTGCCTTTACAGGTGGTTGGATCAGCTTCACGACACAGAATTCCCGTGGAATTGTTGTACAAACAGTCCTTGCAGCACGGTGAGTCATAGCCATCACTGTATGAAAAAACATGCACCTTCACTAACAACACCAGGCATAAAATTCACTGTCTCTCTTTACATCATCATTGCACATAAGCATCACATCCTCGTAGTATGCAGGAAGTTTGTCTCTATGGACCTTGTTAAACGAGTCTTCTAAAGCTCCGTGGTAGAGCATCCGAAGTGCTAATTGGAGGGTCCTAGGTTCGACTCCTATTGAGAGCACTCGGAGTTCTTTTTCCCAGACTATGCCTGTGTCATTCACTGAAAAACATCTTCTTTAACAAATTAATTGTGGATATTCCAGTAAAAAGAATTCTCTGCTTAAAAATTTTATTCCATCACCGAACTTAAAATTTTTTTTTTACTTCACAATTTTTAGAATGTTCCACATTCCCTTTACATAATTCTTTCCACCGGGTTTCGAAATTAACAATTTTTCACACTTTCATTTCGCATGTTTCCAGCCTTGTGTTTGTACATTTTAGTTTTTTAAGAATGTAGACTGGAAGCTGAAAGCTCAAGTTTTCTGAAATTTGAAACCAGAGATCAACAAGATCGAAGTGGAAAAGTATAAATAACAAGGTTAAGAAACTCGGAACACAAACCTGCAGAGAGCTGAGTCCTTCAGCTTGCAGTTTGCGGTACAACATTGGCTTTCCTGTGCACCTATGCCACCGGGATCACATTCTTCCTCTTTTTCTTTCTTGTAATTACCACAGATTTCAGCCCTTGGTTCTGTGTTGGAACAGATCATACAGTTAGGTGGTAAGCATGTACAATCACTACTTGCATTGGTATTCTCATATAAGCACGCCTTAGGGGTCAAACATTATTCACTAGGGTAAAAATTCTCTCAGATGCTAAACCTATCATCACAATGTCGTTTCACTTTTAGGCTGATTGTAAGTGAATTCAGATAAACAAGCCTCATTCTGCTGCAACTACTGAACTAGTACAACAGTTTCATCTACATGTGCAGCCTGCCGTAGGTGACAGCCTTAGAACTGACGCATATATTACTCTCGTGTAAATGAAATAAATTATCTTTTGACGAGTAGATGATGCCAGATAACAAAATGTCTACATATGCGAACTACACCTAAAAAAAATTGCCCAAAAAGATCTTGAAAAATTCAGACTTCGCCGTGTTTCAAACCCGTGCTTCCGGAATACAAGCTGGGCGGTGCAACCAACCGAGCTTCGAACTATCATGTTCCCAGCGGGTAAATTCCTTTGTCCTTCGACAAAGTATCGAAACCAAGTAAAACCTGAATTTTTTCCAAGCATCTTTTTTCTGAAATTTCCTCGACTACCAGTGAGGATCATTTCGTTATTTTCCATAAATTCCTTGAAACGATAGATCTCAATTTTACATACCGTAGAAACAAAACGACTTGGATTGTAAGACATTTAGAATCCTCCGCTTACTGCATGGAGAGAACAGCTGTAAAAGTAAATCAAAGACTGTAAAATTTTAATGAAATCACAGCCAAAATACCGTGTTTCCTCGAATAAGCGCCCGGGCGCCTATCGAAATTTTGGGCTTAAAGGGAAGGCGCTTAAAACGTTTTCCCTTCTGTAAGTTTATTTTGGCTAACTCTTTAAAACAAAAAAACAACAACAACATTATCCGCGTAGACGTACAGTCAATATGGAGATAGAAATAACTGCAAGTGATTCCGCTGTAGTTGAAGCTTAAAAAGTTTTAAATTAGGTGTCGACAGAAACAATTCTTTCTTGTAGCCCTACTCATGTGAGAAAGTAAAGGAGGAGAAGGGCGCCTATTCAAGAGTGGCGCTGGTTTGACATAATGGCCGAGGGGGTGGGTGCCAATTCAAGGAAATAAGGTATGATAGCCTATGTAAAATTGAAACCATGGTTCATTAATTTCCATCACGTGGACGCATTGGCAGCATTGCAGTCACAGCTTGACTATAGACTACACGCATTTAAACGACTACAGTTTATAAGCCTTTTTCAAGGAGTATCTGAGTGATTCAATTCTCGATTTCTTTCCCATTCATTACCATCTCCACCATATTCCATTATGTGGTCCGCTAATATGGGCCAACGGTTGACCTGAGAAGCAATAGCACTCAGTTTGATTGTGTATATGTTTATCAGTTACTCAAGCTGTTAAATTACAGTGGAGCGTCTGTGTACCTTGTTGTTTCTCCACTGTCCACTGACAGAGGCAGGATACATGATAAATTTTCCTCCATTAGATTCTGGTGGAGCACATTCTGTTGTCTCTGGGTCATGTTCGCTGCCAAAATTGTGTCCTGAAGAATGAATAAGCAGTGGTGCACATCAAATAAAACGCTATCATATTATATGATGATTGGTTGGATCACCTCCACAGTTAGCCTTTGAGAGCATGACATCATGTTAGTATAACAAGTTGAAATGCCATAATTTGTGGTTTTTTTTCGGTTAGAATACTTATGAACTAACAATTTACACCCAGAGGTTTAATCGACATTAAGAAAAAAAATGGAAAAGCTGATAAATCATGTGAGCCATTTGTCAGAGCAAACACTGAGTCGGTGTTCTTGGGTACGTCTTTTTCTCAGAGCAGTGCTAAACAAAACTCAAGGCGCTTTATTGTCCTTAATTAACTTGTGGCAGATGAAATTTTTTTGACACTAAAGCCGAACTAGACCACTGTTTTTTATACCTGTAATTTACACCTGGCTCCATACCAGGTGCATGAAAAAATTCCCACAGTACAAACAGGTGTAAGGTTGCATAATGTTTTACTAAGATCTCCTATAAAGTGAAGTATCAAGGATTCATCGTGTACTACACTTACCAATTTCTTTCATCATTGAGAGTAATCCATCAGACATAAAACAGAAAAGACAACAATGATAGAATTAAAATAATTGAAGGTGATAGTGAACATTTTGACACCAATTAACGAATGATTGTCTTTCTTAAGAGTTAAGAAACCAACCAAGTGTGACATAAGCCTATTAATTCATGCAACGTAATATAAATAGGCAGGCCTGATAAATAGGCAATAAGGTACTTCACTAATTATTTCTCTGAGATAACATGCAGACTGAGACTGTGGCACCAACTGGGTTGAATGTAATATGTAATTAAGACATCTCAAATGAATGACATAAATAGACGGTTGTTCATTCAACAAATAACATACCACATTTTCTATACTTCGTTCCCAGTAATAACTTGTTAGCCAACAAATATCAGGGGCTTTTCCAGAACTCCAAAGTTCACCTTCAACCCCTCCATTCCCAAGAGTTCAAAATCAATTCTCCTTACAGCCTACAATAATGTCTTGCTTGAGTTAAGCACCTGCAGCCTTTTACAGGACTTTCCAGTCCTGGATAATGTCAAAATAAAATTCAAGGCTTTTCCAGGTTTTCCAGGAACTGTGCAAACCCTGCCAAGGGCATACATTGATGACTTTTAACCCTTTCTGGTTATCAAACAGCAGTATAGTGCCAAAATTTAAGGCATGTAACTTAAGTGTGCCAAACTAACAAACTGAAAGGGAATAAACTTGTTTGCAGTGTACATGCAGTTTAGACCAAATAAAAATTGTTTAACAGTTTCTGTACCATGAGCAGTAACAATGTCAGCCTCTTCTGTAAGGAGTTTTCTGCCCCAATTAACACTGCTACTTAGTCCAGTGTTCAGGTACAACCATCGATTATTTGTGAAATACCTAAACACCAAAAATAGAACGTTATCAGAATATCTGACTAACTGGACCAATGCAAGGGGTAAACCACATTCTCATTGCAGTCATATATCATCTCCTTTCCAGTATTTTGCATTGTAGACATTTTGTCACAGATAGTTCATTTTCAGAAAGCATATGTGTCCATCTTTGTGCAATTTACTAATTAAAAACTAAATCAAAAAAAAGTCAAAGCGCAGATAAATTTATTCTCTGAATTAAAGTTTAATAAGTAGATGTACCTTAAATTCAGTCCTACAGTACTTTTTCAGAAGTTATTAGATCCTGCAGAGTTTTAGATCTACCTTTAGTGTGTTAACCACAAACCTCAAACTGCGGTTAGGGGTTTGAGGTTAGAAGTTAGAAGTTTTTAAGATTTCAACCTTTATGATCAACGTCACCTTTCACCTGACAATTTAAAGCCATCACAACTAACATGTGTGCTACCATCTTGAATTACAAAAAGCATGAAAGTCCTTCATTTCAAACACATAACGTAGCAAGAAGTTTGGTTTTGGTCTACTAAAAAGAAGAGACCTCATCTCACATATATTTACAGGACATGCGTGAGAACTTTCAAACAGGAAGAAGAAAAGCACCACCCAAAACGGCCTTGCCGTAAGTTCAAACACGAACAGCAAATGGGTGACTTGTGACTCCTAGTGGTCTGCAGTAACACATACCCAGAAACAAACATAGATCTAAAACTCTTTAGTACAGACATGAGCATTGGGGATTATGTTTTATTTAAGTTTGTTTGTAAAAATGTTGTTGCAGGTACATTACTTTTTGTACAGATTCCTCCCACAGCGTTGCTCTTAGGATTGCCAACATAAGCCAGGCCAATGACACCATCAGCAAAGTCTTGGTAAGTAAACAGATGTGCAAGGCAGTATTGACGCCATTCTTCATTCCGACTGAATGCCTGACAAATATAATATAGCTCTGCATTGAAATGAACTAAAAATACCCTACACTGAACATGAAGGACAAGATAAGTTTAGGGGTGGGAAACTTTTACAGAAAAATTTCAGTTCTGCTCACAAATTACAGATTAAGTTTCTCCCAACGATGAGGAGAGGGAAAAAAACAATGATGCATGAATATCAGAATGGACTAAGAAGATTCTGTTTGCAAGATTTTATCAGCACAATTGTTGTGAGACCACATAATAATACCTTCATCAAGAAACTTTGTAAAATTTACAGTTTAAAAATAATCTAAATCATCTTTGCCTTTTCCTCCCAGAAAACCAAAAGGATGACTTAAAACTAGTTAGACTTGCAACTCACAACTACATTGTCACATAACTTACATTGAGAAGTTTCTTGATTTCCCATGGATTGCTGGCACTTGTGTCCTTGTTATAATGGTCTGTTTCTCCTGTAGGTGTCTTGTGGACTAACACCTGTGAATGGATAAGCTCCAGATTATGAACAATACACTATTCAGTTGCAAACTAAAGTTTGTTAAAGAGTAGGCTTCTATCTGCAGGTAGCTTATACCAAACTACTCTACTAAAACAAATTAAAATAATTTTTCTATAGATAGAAACAAATTACCAAAACGATTTACAATGCAATTGCTCACATTCTTTGTAACTCACAAAAGAAACAAAAGAAATATATGTGCGGGGGTAAAACACATGTTGTACTAATACTGAATGCACCCTTAACTGCTGTCTACCAACTTTTTCATACAGAGAATTTGAGTAAGATTGAGTAATAACAAAGTAACTTACAATGTACTAAATTACTGAGAGTATTTAGGTTAGGAAGGCACACAGGGCCACCAAGACACACAGGGCCACCAAGGCTGTCAGTCTTACTCCAAAGTAGATGTTAATTACTTACCACTATATCTACATACAAATAAATCTAAAAGTATTCTCTGATTCTACATGGCACACATGCTTGTGTCCATCTCATACATTACATTCAGAGCAGCTTAACAGTCACAATCAGCCATAATCACACACTTAGACAACATCTTGGTTGTAAAGTTCTACTGTGGACAATTGATTCTGGGTTTCAAGATATCTATTTTAAGCTTTAAACAATATAATATCAAGCAGAAAAGAGATGGGAACAAATAAAATATCAATTAATAATGGTAATAGGACTGAATGGAGTCCAATTCTGTCTATAATCATACAGGTGTGTAACAAAATCAGATGACCACAAAGAGGGAGTCTGATCTGTTTATCACAAGTATACATTACAGACAGAATTGGACATCAAGTCCCATTACCAATTAATCAAAACTATGACAAAATTTGAGAAACTAAAACTGGCTATGGATGTTTTCATAGAGAAAAAAAAAACAACAGTTAACTCTGCGAGAACATGATGCATTCTATCCACTTACACAAGCATGACAGGTTAACTGTCCTTAAACTGTCCTATAAGGTTATGTTCTATTACACTGTCCAATTACAAGCATGACGCATACTCTGTCCTATTAGTGCTCAAATTGAGTGGGTGATGACCAGTCACATTCAAGAATTTTGTCATAGTTTTGATTAGGATTATTAGCTGATCAACACAAATTCTCTGAACTAATGACAAAAGAATTGTATGGGAACCAGTAAAGATTTACTGTGATATCTTGGGAGTGAATGGCTAAGACCTAAGAATCATAACATATATTTGATACTTTTTTTGAATTTCAAAACCATATCAGCACATATTCCTCTCTGACCATGCAGTTCTTTTGAAAATGAATCCTCTGTCTATGACACCCAATCTGTGTGTACAGAAAGCATAATTACTATTAATAAACATTAATTTTATAAATAAATCACAAGGAAATATCAAGTTGAATCAGATCTCAGCTTTTCAACAAATTAAAATCATTCAATCCTGCAAGTGTCTAATTTGGATAACTTGCTTAGAACAATGTTATATTCACCTGGAACAACCAGGAAAAGATAGATATCTCCACACAACGCACTACCTTGCTTGAAATCATTTCCTCCGTTTTTCAAAGTATACCCCAGGTTTCTGTTCTTCCAAAATGCACATTTGCTTGGATTGAGCAGCAGATGTTAAGATCTTGTCCAAGTAAGTCAAAGTATTGAAACTTTTCCTATTTTTTCCAT